AGGTTCTCGTGGCTGGGGGGCCCTGTTGCTGACTGGTCTCCGTTGTGAAGGCTCGGTGTCCTTGCTGCTGAGTTGAGGGGAGAAGTGGTGGCCCAAGAGAGAGACTCCATCCCCAGGGAAAGGGAACACTGTTCCCTGGGAAGCAGCAAACTGCCAGGCTGAATTCCCTTGTGTGCCACAGGGTGGGGCAGCAAAGGGTGCCGAGCAGGGTGACTGCATGCAGTGCGCTGCCACCATGGCTCTGTGCTGGGAGGTGCCCTGTGTGGGGACGGGTGCTGGGGGAGGATGAGTTTGCCTTGTTACATGAGACCCAGGCTTTTCTCCCTGCCTTCCTTGGAGTCGGGGTGCTAAGCAAGGTGTTCTCCCTTCCCCCCCCTCTTGTTGCAGAGAACCAGAAGATGGAGATTGGTGAGTGTCGCTGTCTCCCTGGGGGCTGCGTGCGCAAGCAGATCGTGGGATGCGATGCCAGGGTGGGAGAGTGGAGGGCAAGTTTTTCGTCCCTCCCTGGGGTGGCGAATGCCAGAATGGACTGGGTTTTGGAGGCAGATGAGGAAGTCTAGATGTTGAGGGTTAGCTAATGCCAGTGGGTCTCAACGACTGCAGGTGCTGGACGCAACCGTGCCCAGAACTGAGGGAGCCCCTGTCGCCACTGCTGGCAGCAGCTCCTGCTTGGGCAGGCCTGATTGCTCTCTCTTCTTTCTACCTACCCCTCATTTGCAGAGGAGCTCCAGCCGCAAGGAGGGGCAGGACGTGGTGCTGAGAAGGGTGACTGCATGCAGTGTGCTGTCACCATGGCTCTGTGCCTGGGGCAGCCCTGGCTGGGGGTGGGTTTGGGGGAGAATGAATCTGCTTTGCTGAATAAGACCCAGGCTTTACCGCAGCCTTCAGTGGAGTTGGAGTGCTAAAGGCGGCGTTGTCCCTTCACCCTCTACCCTTGCAACAAGTGAGATTTGGGGTTGCCATGGTGGGCTGCGTCCAGGCTGGTGGAGGCTTTGGTGCAGGCAGGAGCATGAAGGAAGGAGGTGTTGAGGGAAGGCCACGGTGTGGCTGATGGGGTGGAGAGCCTAGGTCCCTGGCCAGCCCTGCGTTCTGGTAGGGCCGTGGGTGTCGGTGGTTGGTGGCAACAATCCCAGGCGGAAGCCCGTGAGGATGAACTCCACGGAGCGTGACCCATCCACGCCATGCGAGAGGAGTTTTTCATCCTTCCCTGGGGTGGACAGTCCCAGAGTGGACTGGCTTGCAAGGACCCTGTGGGTCTTGCCCTGACTTAAGGTCTTCTTTGTCTTCTTCTCCTGTGACCATGGTGACTCGGCAGAGGAACTGCATGCAAGGAACGGTGAGTCTTTCTGCTTGCCCACATGCCTTCCTTCCGCTCGGGGATAGAGGCCTTGGGGCGGGTGAGGAGGGACGCTCCAGCAATGCCAGCTGCTCCCAAGTGCCACGTCGAGAGACCCTGCCAGTGCCCAAGGCTCAACATGGCAGGCGGGGGTC